GAATGTGAGAATGCCTGCAGTGCATTGGCTGTGTGCACCCAGCGAACAAAAAGCTTGCAAATAAGCTTGTCATCCCCCCAGGGACCCCTGGAAATTGTTACCATCAGCTCCTCTTATTTGTTTGGTGACAGGATGAGCTCCTGACTGTGACTGAATGAGGCAAAAGGGAGAAATTTGTGTTACCCCAGTATAATAGAATGGTTTGAGTTGTTAGGGACCCTTCAAGGCCATCTGTCCCACTCCCTGCACTGAGCAGGGACACCCACAGCTCCATCAGTGCTCATCCAGCCTGACCTTGGCTGTCTGCAGGGACGGGGCACCACCTCCTCTCTGTCAACCTGTACCAGTCCCTCACCACTCTTATTGTTAAAAACCTTCCAATGTGAATCTCCACTGTTTTTGTTTGAAACCCTTTCCCCTTGTCCTGTCACAACAGACCCTGCTAAAGAGTCTGTCCCTTTTTTACAGCCCCATGTCTTTTTTGGCAGAGCTCCGTCCTTTCATCCACCAGCTTGCATTGAGGGGGAGCTGCCATGACCCAGGGTTTGAGCTGCCCTTTGAGTTTACAATACCAATTTTCCTGCAATGTTCATGATGTACGAAGGTGTCAAGCACAAAGGATCTGTAGGACAACACCAGCACTGTTACCTTATGGAGCTAGCAAGTCACTCACTAATCAGCATGTGCATCATTTCACGTATTTCGCAGGCTGCTGTGTTTAGAGAAAGCTGTCACTGAGCTATTCCAGTTTTATTCACAGCTCCCAAGCGTTGTAAACATTGTCACTCCAAAATGCAGTGTTATTTGAAAGGTTTCTTGTAAAGTCATCACATGGGAGCTGATAAATTTGGGTTTATCCCATCTGGGCTTGTGTTAGACATGCATGCAGCAGGCTGGATCCTGATGGGTTGGTGCTGATTGATTACAGAAATAGTGCTTAAATGTCACTGACCTTGGATGTGGTGACTTTCAGGAGGAATTGGGTGTTCCTGGCCCTTGCTGAACTTTCTAGCTGGATGCATTCATGTAAGCAACTCATTTAAAGCACTGAATAACTTTGTAATTTCCTGTTGAGGATGAGTGGGTGAAAAGGAGCAGCAGTGAAATGCTGAAAATGACCGGAGGTCCATTGGTTAAAGCTGATTTTTTTTAAAAGCTGTGTTGAGGTTAGAAAGTGCTTCATTAAAGCGTATTTACTGTATAATCTGTGGAGACGAGTGTAAGAGAGCCTTTGAAGGAATTAGTGAAATTCAGCTGAGGCCGCTTCACGTTCAGGAAATCAGAGCTGCTGAAGGACCCAGTGCTACCTGAACTTGTAAGGCCATTTCAGCAGTGTCTTCACTTGGCAAAGTTCTCATGACATTTGCCTTGGCTTCTGGAAGGGGAGAGTTAATCATTATCACGTGTATCCACAACACCGTGCTGCAGGAGAAAGGTGGATATTAGGAAGCATTTCTTCTCATCAAGAGCAGTGATGCAGTGGCACAGCTGCCCAGGGAGGTGGTGGGATCACCGTCCCTGGGGGTGTTCCAGAATCGTGGGGATGTGGCACTGAGGGATGTGGGCATGGTGGGGTGGGCTGGGGTTGGACTGGGTGATCTTGGAGGTCTTTTCCAACCTGAGTGATTCTGTGATGGGACTTCATAGAATCACTGTAGAATCACAGAATGGTTGGGTTGGAAGGGACCTCAAGGATCATGAAGCTCCAACCTCCCTGCCACAGGCAGGGCCACCAACCTGCACATTTCATAGCAGCCCAGGCTGCCCAGACCCCATCCAACCTGGCCTTGAACACCTCCAGGGATTTCAGCTCTGTGTGGCCTGGTGTGCACTCATCAAATCACCACAGGCATCTCAGTCCTGAGCAGGCCAACAACAAGCAGCTCAGGCACACACTGAAAGGTTTTGCTGTTCTCTGCAGGGCAAGGGAGAGGAGTTCTGCCGTCTCAAGTGAAAGACAAAGAGCTTCTTTCAAGGAAAGGCACCAACCGGAACGCAGGAGGAAATGTTAGATGCTTAAAAGACGCCGTCTCGGCTGTCATAGCAGTTGTCTGCACACAGTGCCAACACTCCTGGTTTTTTTTGAAGGAAAAATCCATATGTCACAGTCTGGTGTGAACAAATGTGGTGTCTGGGCCAGATGGATGAAGTTAGATGGGCACCGATGAGTTTGCTTATGATAAGCATCCAAATTGACATGGGAGATGAGAGGAGATGAAGGAGCCCCACCTGTGAAGCAGCTGATTACTGGCAGGGGTCATACAGAAATGCTGGGTTGCATGGCTCTCTGTGTGCTGGTGCCCTGAAGGGCTGTGTCCCAGCAGGGCATTGCTTTGTCTGTCTGTCCACCAAAACCTTCCTTTAGGAAAGGCTTTTGTGGTTGGATGTTCAGCTGGCAGCAGAGACAGCTTCAGGCTGTGCTCTGTTAGGTGATGTGGATTGGGATCTGGGTATTCATGCACACCCTTTCTCATTCTTCACCCACTGGATCAACAACTGGATCTAGCTGTAGGCATCCCTGATCATTACTGGAGAGTTCAATTAGATGACCTTTGAAGGTCCTTTCCAACTCATAGTTCTGTGATTCTTAGGATGCCAATAGACTTATTGCCATAGAGTGCTGAGTGCAGCTTTAACTTAAAGAAGAAGAGAATCCATCCTGATCCTGTTCAGTGTGGATCCATACAATGGGATGGATCATCTCCAGATGCAAGCGTGGTGGTGATATTGCTGCAGACAGGTAGGAAGGATTTAACTTTGTTTTTCTTTGAAGCTGTACAAGTGATGCTGCCAGTGGAGCTCCAAAAGGGTCGATGCAGTGAGGGATGCCCAGAGGAGGCAGTCCTGCAGGCTGGAGCTGTCAGACGTCCCCAATGCTGGCTTTAGAGCAACCTGTGCAGCCCTGCTGCTTTTTATTTTCTTCCATAAGAGCAGAGCCAGCTCCATACAGAAGTGGTGTGAGCATTGGCTCATTAACGTTTACCTTTGTTTTAATTTCTAAGACCGTTACCACTGCTAAGTACTAATAGAAAGCTTCAGGAAGCAGTAGGTAACCCAGCTCATGCACTGAGTCACAAGGAAAAGGAGAAATGAGAAGTGTCAGCAGGATTTGAGCAGCTTTTAGCCCTGGTTCAGCAACCAGCAATATCCAAAATTGTGTTGTTGCTCCTTTCAGGTTATTTTTGTGTATCTGAAGAACCAGACCTGAGGGATGGACTGGATTTAGAAGATCCAGCTGGTAGGGGGTTGCACCAGCTTGACCTCCCTTCCTACCCCAGCCCTTCTGTCGTCCTGTGAAGGTGCTGGGACATTGGAGCCCTTTCCATCTCATACCTTGGTTTAATAGTCTAACACCAGCTCATCCTGCTGCTGAATCACTGCAATATTAGCAATAGCATCAAACAGCTAATTTTATGCTTTGTAAATTTAATCAAGACTTTCAGAGGGCTCTCCCTTGACCTCGCCAGTTTAGGGGATGCTCTGCAGATGAATCACTTTGCCCATTTTCTCTGACATGCTTTGTTTCTAACCCAGATTTATCAGCAGTCTTTTCCAGACTTTCATTAAGAGCGGCAGTGCCTGGACTTGTGATATTCTGGTTAAGTCCAGCTGCATTAACATCTTATCTGATTGCTCATGCGACGGTTTGTGCTACCCAGTAGAAAGCAGGAGCGTGTAACCTCCCTCCACTCACACCATGAGAAGAAAGCGGAGTATGGATTATGCTTAAAATCTCACTTTTGAAGTAGCAATCTGCGTTAAAGGAATCCCTCTGTTACAGGTCCCCAAGGCACACTCTGACCTTGTAACGGAGGCACTGGGCATAAATAAATGCTTCAAGCAACTTATCTGGAAGTCTGAGCCTTCACCTTTCTCCCTTCATTATCCACTCCTCCCACCTGCCCGGCGCTGTAATGATCTGAAGGGTTTGTATGGATTTCCACGTGGCTGCCCTGGAGATCTTTTCAGCCAGCTTCCCTCTGGACCATCTACAAACATTAAAAGATGTTTGAAATTACTCAACCTCAACGGTGCTTGAAATTGAGCCATGTTCTGTTGTGTCAACAGGGCGTTTCAAGTGGTGATTGTAAAGGCCGGAATAAAGATTTCCAGCTTGGTGCTGCCCACAAAACTGCTCTATTAAGTGATGTTCCCCAGCCTGGTAGCTTATTTGTCCATCATCATTCCTCTCTTTTATTTGGGTGCTGTGGGACTTGCTGCAAGACTTGCTGCTTCTTTTCATCTGCCTACTTAGCTGTAATTTAGAGAGGAAGAAAGGACTTCATGGCTTATCAGAAACCTGTGGGTCGCTTCCTTTGAAGGGTGTCGTGATGCCCTAACTGGCAGTGCTGTGTTTTCTCAGGCTGTTTCAGATGCAGCTGATTGTTTTTGGCTTCCAACTGAAGCTCCTACCACTTCATCACCTCTGGGCCACCCATAACACACCAGGAAGAGGAATGGTGAGGTGTGTTTTGCATTCAGTGAGCTGAGAGCTTTTCTGCTGCTGGATCAGGTGTTGAAATCCCATCTCTGCAGGTCCCACCTCACAGCAGAAACAGCTCAATTTGAGGTCAAAATGAGCAAAGTTAGTGAAGAGGCAGCAGTTTCCCAGTGAAGTCATACAGTATGTTGCTTTGGGAAGGGAAACATTGGCAAGGGCCTGCTTTGTTGTCTTCCAGCTGACACGTCTCACAGGCCATGCTGTGAGTGCCAGGCCTAACGAAGCCTGGCGTCCCGGGGGCTGCTGTCTTATGGCTGGCTGCTCTGGCCCCCAGGAGGGTACTGCAGGCTGGTGCAAGGTTTTTCTGTCATTTATACGGTTTTCTTCTGTGCAGGTTCTTTGATGACTGAGAAGGGAAAGGTTCATGCTGTGGTTTTCCCTGAGGATGTGAGCAAAGCGGGGCTCAGAACCTTCTTTGGCATTAGAATCATAGAATCATAAATGGCCTGGATTGAAAAGGCCCACAATGCTCATCCATCCCAACCCTCTGCTGTGTGCAGGGTCACCAACCAGCAGCCCAGGCTGCCCAGAGCCACATCCAGCCTGGCCTTGAATGCCTGCAGGGATGGGGCATCCACAGCCTCCTTGGGCAACCTGTGCCAGTGCCTCACCAGTCATCTTTTGTGTGCTCAAACTGGTTTTACAGGTTTAACAGAAGCAAGTGTAGAGTCTTGCATCTGGGGAGGAATAATTGCATGCACCAGTGCAGGCTGGGGGATGAGCTGCTGGAGGGGAGCTCTGCCGAGAGGGACCTGGGTGTCCTGGTGGACGACAGGTCGGCCATGAGCCAGCAGTGTGCCCTTGTGGCCAAGAGGGCCAATGGCATCCTGGGGTGCATTAAGAAGAGCGTGGCCAGCAGGTCGAGGGAAGTGATCCTCCCCCTCTGCTCTGCTCTGGTAAGGCCTCATCTGGAGCACTGCGTCCAGTTCTGGGCTCCCCAGTACAAAACAGACAGGGATCTCTTGGAAAGAGTCCAGCAGAGAGTAACAAAGATGGTGAAGGGCCTGGAGCATCTCTGCTATGGAGAAAGGCTGAGTGAACTGGGTCTGTTCAGCCTTGAGAAGAGAAGACTGAGAGGGGACCTGATCCAGGTCTATAAATATCTAAGGTGTGGGGGGCAGAATGGCGAGGCCGGACTCTTGTCAGCAGTGTGTAGAGACAGGACAAGGGGAAACGGAGACAAGCTGCAGCATAGGAAGTTCCTCTGTACAGTGAGGTGACGGAGCACTGGAACAGGCTGCCCAGGGAGGTGGTGGAGTCTCCTTCTCTGCAGATGTTCAAGACCTGCCTGGATGCCGACCTGTGTGACCTGCTGTAGGGAACCTGCTTTGGCAGGGGGTTGGACATGATGATCCCTGGAGATCCCTTCCAACCCCTACAATTCTGTGATTCTGTGACTCTGTGATTCTGTTTTCTATGGGAACTCAGGGTCTCTTTTCTCTTGATATCTTTATAAAACCTCTAGAACATAACTTGTCTTTAAGACAGTATGGTTTTGGGGAGGTCCTGTGTGGAGCATAATGATCTTTATGGGTCCTTTCCAAATCGGGATATCCTTGGTATGGGCATACGTACCATATGGTCAGATAAGCAACCTAAAAGTTTAAAACTACATGTGTTATGACCTAAGCTGACACACACTGGCTTGTTCTTTTGCTGAACAGCTGCTCCAAGCAAAACTGTGCCAAATGGAGTTATTAGGGGAAAAAGGATAGCTGACGTAATGCCATTAAAACTAGAGCTGCGATTTTGGGTTGAACTTAATGCGAATAGATATTGAATGAGATTGATTTGTGGATAAATTACAAATGGCTGTATAGGTAAATATATATGTAAATGATTTTTTCAAAAAGGAATACTGCATCACAGCCTTAGAAGTCAGGTTGGAGAGTTGGTTGGAGAGCAGAGGGGCGAGACACCCTGTTGGTTGACACTTGTCCTAAAGGTCTGTGGAAATGGAAGACAAACTGGAACTCAGAGTGGATACGTGTAGGTGTGAGAAGATTGAGTAAAATGGGTGTCAGAGCAGGAATGAAAAAGATGGTTTTCAATTGAGAATTGTAGAATCACAGAATAGTTGGTTGGGAGGAGAACTTAAAAGCCCAACAAGTCCCAACCCCTGCCGTGGGCTGGGTGCCTCCAGCTCAGGCTGCCCAGGGCCCATCCATGGCCTTGGGCACCTCCAGGGATGGGGCACCCACAGCTCTGGGCAGCAGTGCCAGGGCATCACCGCCCTCTGAGCAAAGGATTTCTTCCTGACATCTCAACTAAATCTCCCCTCTTTCAGTTTAAAACTAAACCCCTTCTCCTTTTGCTATCAGACTGTGTAAGAAGTTGGTCTCCCTCCTGCTTATGAGCTCCCTTTCATGTGGGAAAGGATGCTACAATCAAGGTGGAGTTGCTTTGCAAGTTGCAAGAGATGCAGAAATCTGAAATGTTTGAGTTCCTGTAATGTGTTTGAAGATAAAATAACTGGTGAGGAGAGCACCCTTCGAGGCCATTGTAATAGCTGACGTCTCCTGCTTGTGAGCATGAATCTGTTCTGCTGGGGGAGCTGCTGCAGGGGAGCTGATGTCAGAAGCCTGAGGGCAACTGGTTGAAGGACAGCAAAGGTTGCTTTTCCAATCCTTGTAGAGATTTTGAAGAAACTTAAAATCAAGTTTGAGGAGTTGTAGGAGAGCAAGTCTCAGTCCAAAGGTGGGTTGAGCATTTGGCATCGTCTCTGAGGCACCCTGAGAGTCGTGCTCCACATTTACGCCCTGCGGGGCTCCGCGCATTCAACAGTCATGCACAGTTTGAAGCTGCCTTTGATGTGATCACTATTTCTTAAAAGCAGGAGGTGGGGATAACTTTCATGATGCAAGAGTGTCGTCTTGGGCAGATGGAAGTGGATGGGTACAGGCACTCGTAACCTCGTGGCTTCAGAAGAGCACTGAAAACCCAGCAGCTGAGCTGCTGCGTTCATTCTTTCAGCGTTTGGAAAGTGGCAGTCATCTGAAGGATTCATTAAGATGGGGACTCATTTGCATATTATTAGCGTTATTACATGGAAATAAAAGTGCTGCTGGTTCTTCCCTCCCTCCATGTATCTCTCATCACGCGCCTTTATAGCAGCTCTGAATCCTATTTGTCGTGTGACAAACTGGGCTGATAAATCTCGTTACTCACTTGAATGGCTGGGAGACTCATCGCCCATTACTGAATTTGGTGAATTATGTAAGAAATGCATAATTAAAATTAAACCCGGAGCCTCGCATGGAACCTTGTGAAATTCCCTTCGTGATGCATTACAGAGAAATGTACGTGGATATTAAAATTTAAGCCTAATTATTTGGATTTATTTTTAATCAATATTTGATACGCCACCTAGAAGTTCCTGTGTACACACAGCAAAGCAAGCAGTGAGGCTTTGCAGGAGGGCATGGGAAGCGTGTGTGTGTCGAGTGTTAGCTTTCATAGAGTCCTAGAATGGCCTGGGGTGAAAAGGACCTCAAAGATCATCTAGTTTCAACCCCCTTGCCATAGGCAGGGTTGCCAAGGGTCGCCAATCACTACACCAGCTGCTTACTTCAGTGTTTCATTACAGAAAGGAAACCTGCCCTGAGCACGAGGTGATGAAAGTTTCTCCATCTGCAGGAGGTCAGGGCGAGGAACCTGTTTCCCCCAAGTCTTCCCCCACCTGAGCACTGTTGGATGTTGGGGTTTATTGGAGAGGTATTGAATCTGTGGGAAGTAACTCAGTCTAATGGAGCTCCGCTTGTTTGTTCACTCAAGTTGTCGTGAAAGTCATGCTGAAAGTCTTTCCCATCACGTATTTCTGCTCTCCTGATTCTTGTTTAAAGACAGCTATCCAAACTGCTGTCTATCTTACGGAGGTGTGTACTTGAAATATGCTAAAAAGTTGTTTTCTGTGTGCTAAAATTGCCTTTAGAGGCATTTCCAAATGCCCTGGAAAGAGAAGAAATGTTTTTAAGGCATGCAGTCAGCAAACCCCCACTTAATTTTGAAAGGTTCGTCTCTCTTAAGTACAAAACTGAATAGAAGAGATTTTATTCCCCTAAATCCCCGATTCTGGAGAAAGCAGCTTGAGATCTCAGTAAGAGAATTAACACACGGGTTAAATTTACAATAAGAAGCAGTACTTGGAAAATGCCTATTCAGATGCTGTTAAGGAAATAATAGGATTAGTTCTTGTCGTGTCAGTGTGGATTCCTCAAACTGCAGGCTTGGTGCTGACATGCATACGTTCTGTGTTGCTGGCCTGGGTGTGAAATTGAGGACAATGAAAACAAAGATGACTTTTCTTGGAGGCAATTCGTTTGAATGGTTAAGCCCGTAGTTCTGCACACACATGCGGCAGGTAATTCAGTATGACAAATAAGCCACTAATAATTCTCCCAATGCTGTTGTTTGCCACTGAGATGATCTTAATTGCAGCTGTGTAACTGGTGAAATGCCTTTATCACAAATTGTGAGTGTGCTGGTCAGACCTGTTCTCCATCCCCATCCTAAGCGGATTTCCAATCATTGCTGTCATCGATGAGAAGCATAATAGACATTTTTACCCATTATTTTTGTTGCTTCTTTTTGATGACCCATTTATTATTCAGCTGTTTGAAAGGGTAAATAATAGCAAGACGAGGAGAAAGGCTTTAAGGAGGGAAGATTGAGGTTGGATGTCAGGGGGAAGCTCTTTACCATGAGAGCAGTGAGGTGCTGGAACAGCTGCCCAGAGAGGCTGTGATGCCCCGTCCATCCCTGGAGGTGTTCAAGGCCAGGTTGGATGGGGCCCTGGGCAGCCTGGGCTGCTATGAAATGTGGAGGTTGGTGGCCCTGCGTGTGGTGGGGGGTTGGAGCTTCGTGATCCTTGAGGTCCCTTCCAACCCAACCGTTCTGTGATTCTGTGGTCATCCCTCTATATTTATTATAATGTACGTATATCACATCTGTTCTTTAGAATACAGCGTCTTTGTTTATTTCACAGTTCTCATTAATCCAGAATGGTGAAACAAAGCATTATCTTCCATTCCTCATTGCCGTTTCATAACCATCCGTGTGTATCTTTGTTTTTAGCTTAAGCAGCAGTAAGGCTGAGTTGGGCTTTATTTGACATCAGCTGATTTCATCACAGAAGGTGCTGTAGATCATCGCCCTGAAAGACTTCAACAAAATGGTAATGAGAAAAAGAAAGGCTGCTGCTGTGCTGCTGCTCTTTTGTTTCTTTGTCTTCAGATACCACCCCTGCTTCTTGACAGATCTCCTCTTTCCTTCTCTGTTGGCTTTAATCTGCTGTATTCCAAACGTGGAGCATGCAGGAATTCCCCTGGAAAAAATGTCTGGTTTGAGCTGGAGCGAAACCCCGCGCTCCTCCCAGAACTAACTCGGGTTTTAATAAGATCCTGTACAAAGGAATTGACTTCTAGGAGCTGCACTGAATGCATATGAAGACATGCATGTGAGGATTGTATTGGCCTTGTCCGTGTGTGTCAGATTCTGATAGCAGGTGTTCTCATTCTTAGCCTTTCTCTTGCATGAAATGCCTTGCTCTGCTCTCCGTAGCTCTTCCTTCCAGTCTCACTAACGGCAGTTGCCCTCTTCTAACAACAAATGCTTACCCATATAATGAGTATATATATCTTTAGATGTGTCCATTTAAATTAATAATTAACAGAGCAGATGCCTGTGATATGCATCCGCTTATATCTAACCGTTATTTGATGCGATCTAGCCTGTGTGCACAAGTTTTTGTTCCTTTTGTCCAACAGGATGTTTGTAGATGAGTGGGTAAGAGTTGATTTACACTTGAAAGTAGACAATTTCTTCTGAATACTTCTCCTTTTAGTAGTTAGCAATAGCATTTTACCTGCACAGCACAGTGCATTTAAACTGTGGAAGGACCCCATATAGCCATACATATCCATAGGCACACATTATAGAATGACAGAATCACAGAATGGCCTGGGTTGCAAAGGCCCACAGTGCTCATCCAGTTCCAACCCCCTGCTGTGTGCAGGTCACCAACCAGCAGCCCAGGCTGCCCAGAGCCACATCCAGCCTGGCCTTGAATGCCTGCAGGAATGGGGCATCCACAGCCTCCTTGGGCAACCTGTTCCAGTGCCTCACCACCCTCTGGCTGAAAAACTTCCTCCTCATATCCAACCTGAACCTCCCCTGTCTCAGTTTAAAACCATTCCCCTTTGATGCATGCCTTGTATCTTGGGATCCTGCTCATGTGGGTGTGTATACCCAAAGTGCCACTAAGCAGACATCATGGGCAACTTGTTTCCACACAAACTCATCTCTTCTTGGTCCTGGTCCATTCAAAAACAGTGCATCTGCACATGAATTCAAACCTTTAGCAACCACTGTTAGGATGCTGAGAATTCCCCTGGTTTACTTCATCAGAACATAAATAAAATATAAATATAATATATTATTATATATAATATAATAAATAAAACTCTTCCCTCTTAATAGCTGGGAACATGGGAATACACCCAGTGGGGAAAATTCCTGGTGTGGGTTTAAAACATTATTTTAATTCTAATTTCACTGTGTAAGATTGAATCTTTTGATGGTGGATTAGTTCACACTTGAGCGTTGTTATTTATTTTTTCCTTTCTTTCTTTTTTGTGTTTTTTTTTTAGGTCTGAAAGGTTTTTATGGGTTGTGAGATGTTCCAGTGCCTGGATCAATGCTTTTTGTTTCCTGTCGGGAAGGAGTCTGTTGGGTTTTTTTTGTTTCTTTGCTTGTGTTATGTCAACTTAATTGTAAGCCAGCGTGGCAGCCCCAGGGGAAGTGGACTTATATACACAAACAGGTACAGCACTGCGTGTGCATGGAGCAAATGGAACCATCCCAGGGCAGAGGAGGTCCCCGAGGAGATGCCAAGCTGTTCAGCCATCACTGATACCAGAACGGTGATGCCCACGTGGTCCAAATGCCTCTTCTTTCTGCACGGGCAGAAACAGGAATGCAGGAGATAGGCTTCATGTGCAGAGCTGTGCCAGCTTATGCTCACACTGGTGTGAGGTTTAGCAAGGTTTGTGCTCTGGTGTGAGTAAAACAGAGGGAAATCTGTCTCTTGTTATCAGAGCTGGGGAGGTCAGCCAGCCCACAGCAAGGGTTGGGACCAGAAGATCTTTGAGATCCCTTCCAACCCAAACCATTCTGTTATTGGATGGTTTTAAATTACACATGTGCACGTCATGTCTGCATGAAACCATCCTGGGACTCGTGGATTGAGGTGCACTGTGATTTGGATGATGACATCCTGACAGTGACCAAGTAGGCGTACCTGCATCATGATGTTTTTGCTTTGACCTGCTGTCCCCAGACACAGATTGCCCTCATAAAGGCCCATTAAAAATCACTTTGCTCTCTGGGATGCTGAACTTGCTGTGTTTTCAGCTAGCCGTGCTGAACCTTGAAAAAGAGAGTGTGTGAGCTTCCAGCAGGATATCTGGAGTTCAGAAATCTCCGCAGAAGATTAAGCAAGTTAGAGAGAGAAATTAGCCCTGATCCCTTTCTGCCAGCATAGGATTATCCTGCAGCACACCGGTTTTGAAGTTTATGTCTAATCCAGTTTTACACATCCCAGGGGACTGTGCTCCTTACGGCTTCTGCAGAGCAGTTGCGTGGTGGAGCCTCTGCTTTAGAGGTACTTGAGATTCAATTTGCATTTCCATTACTGCATCCCATTTCATCCTGTGCCGTATACTTAATGTCTCTGCTTTGTAGGGTATGGCTTTTGAAGACATATGGATCGTTACTGTGCTTGTGCTGCTTTATGTGCTTACTGCACACATAGCTGGGTGATCTGAACCCCATTCTTACACATAACTTGTGTTTAGGGCTGTTGAGCATATTTGTGTACAAGAGGGGCTGGGGCAGTCAGTGTGGATCGTAGTGCATCGACACAAGTGGCATGAAACAAGGTGAGATGAGCCAAGTGTGCAGCAGTATTGCTAGTCAAGGCAAAAAGGAGCAAATGCTGCTGCTTTCCAGCAAGGTGCAAGGCTTAAATGGTCAGTCTGGGAGTTTTCCATGCAGCGTGGTATGAGTTTGTAAAACCATAATTGTTCTTTTCTAATAAATGTGTATTTCCAGGCTGAAAAACAACTTGTCTGTGATCTTTGAAGTGCCTTTCTGCAAGCATTGTTCCTTGCACACACGGGGCAGTAGCAGAGCAGCAGAGCATTGAAGCACGTGGTCTATCTCAAGTATGCAGGCAGTGCATTTAAAAGAAGACAGCATGTTTTACTTGACTGGCCAAAACTTGTTTAGAGCCATGCTAGATCAGCACCCAGCTCCATCCCAAGCACATTTCAGGAGCTGTTTCTAGGACTAGAAAGTGTTGGGTAAGACAGGAATGCAAGCCTAACACCCCAAAGTGCATTTTATAGCTTGAAAGTTTAAATTCCAAGTTTCTGCAAGTATCCATAGCGCAGTGGTGAGCTGGAGAGATCCCAGAATTGGGCCTGATCCTGCCCTGTGCCTTCAGTCTCGATTCACACCCTGCAGTATTATTTCATTCTTCTCAGTGCAGATGGCAATGAAAGATAAAACCAAACAAACAGAAATGTGAAAAAAACAAGACCTGCAGCATTTCTAGAAGGAAGAGCAAGCAGAAGATGGCAAAAGATGAACACAGTGGCTGATCATAATGCTGTGCATGGAGATGGCTTTTTTCATCTTCCAGTGTGCACTTGAAAACTATGTGCAATCTGAGCAATTTTTAGCAGTGTTAAGGGTGTATTGCTGCAACCTGGGCAGCAGAGGATATTTCTGCTTTTCCAGCAGAGCTGCTTGGGCACCCCATGCTCCTGCCGTTTTCTTCATGGGCAATAGTTGTGGGGAAGAACCCAAATCCACAGCGATGGCATTTTATGAGCCATCCTCTCCTGAGTTGTTCCTTGCAGAGGGGAGGTTCAGGCTGGACGTTAAGTAATATTGATTTGGTGAAAGAACAGTGCTGCAGTGGCACAGCTGCCCGGGGAGGTGATGGGGTCACCCGGAGGTGTTCCAGAACCGTGGGGATGTGGCACTGAGGCACATGGTGGGGTGGCTGGGGTTGGACTGAGTGATCTTAGAGGTCTTTTCTGACCTGATTGATTCTGTTAATCATGAGAACCAGCATACTTTCTAGGATTCTATGATTTAGAGAATTTGCATCACCCGTACAAAAGAAGTGGGGTTGAAAGTCTCCTCTTCTGTCCCCATCTCGCCACACGGCTCCTGCCACCATGGGGACACGTTCTAGAAAACAAGCTAAGATGTTCTCAAGGAAATCAGTGCTGGGAAGTTGTGGGGCTGTCAATGAATTCTCTCTTCCCCCTTGGAAATGAGGTTTCTGGAGGACAGTGGCAGATGCTGTTTAGCAGGACACTGTGAGCACAGCCCGGTAAGTGGCTGGGCTATCTGTGTTACTTTTATTCCTCCTGGCCGTAGTTATCCTGATTCGAGGCCCAGGATTCATCCATAACATGCTGAACATCCAGGCTGGATGTGGGCAGCCTGGTCTGGTGCTTGGCAACCCTGCACATAGCAGGGGCTTGAAACTAGATGTGGCCCTTTTCAACCCAGGCCATTCCATGATTTCATGAACGTGCTCGATTTCTTTCCTCGTTTTCTATGACAGAGTCTCTCATCATATACAGAGCAGGGTGCACCAGCACTCCCTGTGAGCAGTTTAACTATTAGTCCTCCTGTGCCAAGGATGTGAGGTCTGTGCTCAACCTCAACTGTGTATGATTGTGTGATGTCAGAGGCACTTCAGCACAGGCTGCACAGATGGGCAGTGATGCCCCGTTCTTGCAGACAGCCAAGGTCAGGCTGGATGGGGATCTGAGCACTGATGGAGCTGTGGGTGTCCCTGTCCAGTGCAGGCAGTGGGACAGATGGCCTTCAAGGCTCCCTCCCAACTCAAACCATTCTATGATGAGAGAATAAATGCTGGTCATTGCACAAGGGCAGGCATTGTGAAAGGCTGGGTGCTGGTTCTGAGCTGCTGGTGGAATGTCAGCTCAGAGCATCATCATCCTCATGGCTAAGCTCTCTGGGTACTCTCTTCTCTCTGAAACCATTGATTTGCAGCATGCCCAAACCAAATTTAAGCATGGAACCACATAGATCTGAATTTAGCTGTGCTGGCTGGTTTCCCTAGGAGGAGGGATCAAGGGGATGAATTTGATTGCCTCAGAAAATTAGTGTTGATTTCAGTGAAGAATATTTTATTACAGTGTTTGCATTGGCATTCCCTTCATAGGATAATGGCTAAGAGTTTCCAGTGTTTCCTGTGCTTGTGTGTATTTAATGATTTAATCTATTCCTTCTGAATGCTGGTTTGGAAGAAAAAAAAAGCAACAATAAACAAGGCTGGCTGCCTACTATTAATATCCCTCCATAAAATAAAATCACTAATCCCAAAGGTGGAGTTGCAAATGAAAAGGAAAAAAAAACAACAAACAGTCTTGGAAAGTATTAAAACTAAATTACAGGTTCTAAAATAGACACCATCCATGTTGTTTTCTTCAGCTATGGATGCCAGAGAGGCTGCAGTGCTTTGGAAAGTTGGGATGCTGTTATCTCCATCCCTGAGTATGGGTTTGGAAACTTGGGATTATTCTCATGCACTGGAAGTTGAATTAGAATCATAGAATCATAGAATCAGAATGGGCTGGGTCGAAAAGGACCACAATAATCATCCAGTTCCAACCCCCTGCTATGTGCAGGGTCACAACCAGCAGCCCAGGCTGCCCAGAGCCACATCCAGTCTGGCCTTGAATGCCTGCAGGGATGTTTCAACCTTCTTGTGTTTAAGGCTTAAAGACTGAAGATTTCCCTCTTCTCCCTCCTCCAGCATCACTTCAGGGCTGAGACAGAGCATGGGAAGTTTTGTAGCAGCAGGAAATATCTTCATATGGGTGAGACTTAATGAAAAAGGCTGTGTGGTGCTGAGGGTGGCTTGTAAATCAGCACTGTACCTGTTAAACCAGGCTGGCACCAGGGGAGCAAGTGTAATCACATCATGGTACTCCAGGCATGCAAGTATGGCCAGTTAAAACAGGAACAATATGCTGGAGCAAACATGACCAAGGTTGGGCTTTGTGGGGATCAGGGCATGCATCCAGGTCTGCTTGCAGAGCTTCTGGTCAAGGATGTGCCTCCTTCTGCTGACATCCAATAGGACAGGACTGGGAAGAGGAATGGAGCGGTCGGAGCGAAGGGGCTAAGCATCACTTAAAGGTTCTTGTGTGTTTTGTGTCAGGCCCAACCCGTGATTTATGATGTTGCTAAGCCAGCAGGGAATCCTATCTGTGCTTTCCAGCATTGTTTCCAGGCTGCAGAGGCTTTGTTCCTTGTGAGCACCTCCTCTCCAGGAGAAGCAGGGTGGTTAAGGAGCACACGTGGGGGAATCCGGATGGCAGATTGCTGTCGTAGAAGGGCTCTTTCATGGCACTGTATTTACCAAAGCTGCTTGGAGGAGGTTGTTTAAACAGCAGAGATTTGAACCATGCTCTTGACATAATTTTTCTCCATCCGCAACTGAAATACCGGCCTCTTCTGCAGTATTTAGAGAATCTGCTGATCTCTGCTCTGAACTGAATGGCTCTCAGGGTGAGCTGCATGCTTTTAAGGTGCAGTTGTTCACAATCTCCAGTGTCATTTCGGACTGCCTAGCCTGATTTCTCCAGCAGTCTATGGGGCGGGCACTGTTAGAGAAACACTGCCTTTATAGCAGCTCACGTGGGTTTTGGGATTCACTCTGTGTAAAATGGGGAAACAAAGAGCAGGACAAGGATGCTGAGGTTGAGGCTGCTCCCCCATTGATTCTGCTGTAAGACATTTATTTTCCTTCTATTCTCTTGAGCTGGGCTCAAGGGGAATGAAAATCCAAACTGCAATAAAGCAGCTCCTTCCTTTACTGACCAAACACTCCTGTGGTGCTGTCTCCATCTGACTGAGCTCGGGAGGTGATGGTCACTGCACAGCTGCCTTAGAGCACTCATCAGGACGGTGTGCAGGTCCCTGCTGCTGGATCTGTGCCTGTCCCTATTGCTGGCTGTGACAGGTCAGGATGAGCCCACGATCCCAGTCCTCTTGGGTTAACCAGGGTAACCTGAGGGTTTGTGTGTTGTGGAACCTGGAGGCAGATCCTGTGGGCTTGAACACTGCTGGCAGCTGAGGCAGAGTGCAGATGCTTTTGGGAGGCATTGCAAAATCATAGAATCATAGAATCATAGAATCATAGAATCATAGAATCACCAAGGTTGGAAAAGACCTTAAAGCTCACCCAGTCCAACCGTTCACCTATTCCCAATAGCTCCCACTAAACCATGTCCCTCAACACAACATCCAGCCTTTCCTTGAACACCCCCAGGCTCGGTGACTCCACCACCTCCCTGGGCATCCATTCCAGTGCCTGACCACCCTTTCTGAAAAGTAATACTTCCTCATGGTTTTATGGAGGTGAATTTTCCCTTGTTGAAACCCCAAAGTGGCACTGATGGGCTGCTTTCCCCAACATCCTCTGCATACATCAGCCCTGCCAGCAAAAGCAGGTTGAAAACACCTTTGCATTGGACTAAAGAGATTCTTTGTATGAATAAGCACTTGAGTTAACAGCACCAAGAGCTCGAGGTAAGTTTACAACACAAACTTACACTTCAGAAGGATGGCGGTGTGCCTTTTGCAGCCAGACGAGTCTACTCCTGCCTAATCCTTAGTGGTGTGGAGCAATTGCTTTCCAGAGACAAGTAGGTTTCGTGGCTGGAACAGCAAGGAAGCATTATGGTTATTCTGTGAACCTCTTTCAAAGTGAGTTGTGAATCCTTTTGATGTGTGAGCAGTCCCACCGTGTGATACCACGGCCACAAAAATACGCGTTTTCTTTTTAAGAGGAAAAACTCAAACCTGGGGAGAAATTCCCAGGAGGGAAGTTTAACAGCTTCAAAGTGTTTCTGCAGCACTTTTTCTTGGTGTGTGGGCAGGAAGATTTCTTTCCCCTCAAAAACAAGCAAGCCCTTCTCTGTAGAGTCCCTCTGGGCTTCAAGGTAGACTTCAGACTTGGGGAACCTTCCCACCTGGGGTGCCTTCAGAACTGAGAAACCTGGAGAGATTTCAGAACTGAGATGCCTCCAGAGCTGGGGAGGTGCTGTGAAGTCAGCAGTGCTGTGACCCTGTTTGACAGTGAAGTATCTACTTGCTTCATGTTGCTTCCTTAGTTGTGGTGGTGGCTGGGGTCTTGGTGTCCAGGGATCCCAAACGTGCCACGTTCATAGTGTTGGGTGTGCCCAAGAGCCACAAAGGGTGTAAGGCAGTTTGGGAGCTGCTTGGCTTCCCTTTAAGCATGGCTTGCTTGGGGAAACTCAGATTCCTTCATTGGATGTTGGGTTATGTCAAGTCCTGGCAGTCTCCAGCTGAATTTACAAGACTGCGCCCCTATGAGAGCTTGCAGTGGAATGGGAATGAGGTGACTTCAGACTTCAGCAGCCTGGTGCATATTGGCTGAGAGATTTTCGTCAGCATTGCCCAAGAGAACACACACTCCATAGTGTGTTTTCGTTCCCA